GATTGGCCTTTTGATTTTGATCTAACCCGCTAGATGTCTATCTTTTTTTTTTTAAGCTATAAATTCTTAAGCTTTTTTTTTTTTAAAGTTTCATTTCCAATCTTTTCTTAAAATATATATATATATATCATCTTCATGGAAAACCTAAAAGTCTCGATGCTCCAGGGTTGTCACCGTTACCACACATCCGGCGTCAGCCATTGCCTTTATCTTTTCCTTTTTTTTTTTCCCTTTTTTTTTTTTTTTTACTGGATCTGGCCTTTTTTTTTTTATAAGGTTACTTAGAGTTGTTGGGTTCTCCCTCAAAGGATGACTGTATATTTTTTATTTTTTGGCTAAGGGTTTTTTAGTGGATGATTAGCTGTTTATGTGTGGTTGGGGTGATTTTATAGGAGGTTTGGCCAGGCGATAGGGTAGGTTGTGAAAGCTATGTGTCAAGATTGAGGTTGATACAAGCAGAGGATGTTCTAGGGTTGATAGAGATTGGGTAAGGGCCATGGTGATCTTGTAACAATGGTAGCCATGAAAGGGCTTGTGCTCCTAGGACTAGTTTAAGGTTGCTAGGAATGGTGCTTTAGTAGTTGAAGCTCTTGGTGTTAAGAGGTAAGTTGATGAGGAGATTCGGTTAGGGTTGACGCGAGCAGGGGGTAGTTTTGATGAGGTAAGGGCGAGTTGTGTTATGATGGCAAGGGCATAAGTTGAGGCCAACACAAGGCAAAGTTGGTGAATGTGGTAGCTTAGGGTTAGGGTGTTTTAAGGGTTGGGAATAGTAAAAAGCTAAGAATGGGTTTGGCGTTACGAGAGTAAAAGGTGCAAATAAGGTCGGGGTTTCTACCATAGATTGGTTTTGGGATCGACCAGAATTGTGAAAGGGCTTGTTTTTAAGGGTAGGAGTCAATGCAGCTGGTTCAATTAGAGCTAGTAGGGTTTGAGACATACAAAGGCTATGGCTTTGGATTAGAGTGCGTATAGAGCGCGATGCTGGGGAAAATGATAAAGATTGGTGCTATGAGGGTTTTGAATGGGTGATATGTGTTGGGGTATTGGCTTAGTAAAGGATTTTGGCATTGAGGTTAAGGAGTTGTTGGGTGATTTGCTATAAGGGGTCTGGTAGGGTGAGGAACGGTTGGAGATGAGAGCTATAAAGCGTGAGTTTTATGATTGGTTAAGGCTTCATGCTTAGTGATAGAGTTCTCATGAGTTTGTTATAGGTAAATGCTTCCAGGGTCGGTTGTGGCAAGACTAGGGTTTGGTGTAGGGAAGGATTTTACAGGGGTTCTTAAGCATAAGTTTTGGCCAAAGAAGATGGTGATCGTGTCTTGAATGGATATAGGTTGGAGTTTGGAGATGGTCTAACGTGAGCCAAGGCTAGGGGTTCTTGTGTGGAAGTTGGTCAATGGAAAAAGCTAGAAAAGGCTTGGTGCTAAGGGTTTGTTCTAGTTGAAGGGCTATATGGCTGTGTCCAAGCTACCCCTCTTCATGAATTGTCTTCCATTTATCCATGAAAATGTGCAGTCCCATTTTAGCTTTTTGTGACCTACAAGCACTTTGAGGGTACTGTTGCAAGGTAATGGTCCGTGCAATTACTTGGCAATCATTACCCATTGGTTGTCTTTTTCCTTTATTTCTATTCTTTTGGCTTTTTGTTGTTTTGTATTTTTGCTTTTTTTTTGTAATTTTTAATTTTTTGTTAATTCAATTAATTTTGAAAAATAAAAATAAAAAATAAAAATAAAGATAAATATAAAAATAAAAGTGGAGTTAAAAGCTTAATTTAGGTATAAAATTGGAGCTTTAGGTTGAAAAAATCGATTTGGGCTCCTATTAGGCCTTTAAGCCCAAGTGATTGAATTTTGATTTGAAACTAAAAAAGTTTCAAGAATAATTAGTTTGAGATAAGTTTGAAACACGTTAATTCAATTATCGTGCTTAAATTAGTCTAAATTAAATTATTTGAATCAAATATAAAAATCGAACAAAAGCCAAATCAACATGAATTAAATTATTTAAATTTTGCAAATTGATTCCAAAAAGATTAATTTGGAACAAATCTGAATGAGTTTAATTTAATTAAATCCCATTTAAGTTAGCCCCATATTAAAATGTTAAATCAAATTTAAAAATTAAACAAATTCAAGTCAAGCCGGACAAAACTAAGTGTCTACAGGTAGATTTCATTCTTGCCTTGGTTTCTAATTTATTTTTCTAGTTTCACTTCCATTCTTAAATTTTGAATTATTTTATTTGGATCGTTAATCTTTTAAAGTAGTTTTATTTGATCTTTTTAACAGCTTTTTTTCATTAATGTTTTAAAAATATCCCCATGGCAATGCCAACAAAATGTCCATGTGATGTGTTGTGTAATTTGGGACATATCACATTCACACTTATAATAATTAAAGTATAATTAATCGATCATAATTTAGTCAAAATTTTATATGAAATTTATATTCAAAAGTGAAAAATCTCTACATAAATTTTTATTTTGATTGGATAATTATAATATTATAATAAAAAATTATAACTAATATACTAGCGTAAAAATTATGTCAATATTAACAAAATTATTTGAGGGAATGACCAAAATGAAATTATTTTAAAAAGTTAAGAATTCAAATTAAATTGAAAACTAAAGTAGAACCAAAATAAAACCAAAATAAAAAAAAAATAGAGATCATGGATTAAATTTTCCAAATAAATAAATAAATAATGAAATGTACCTTTTTTTTTTTTTGGCATGCATGCATATCTTGGATTAGTTGAAAAGCCACACATATAAGGCATATTAAATATAGAAAATTCTTCGTCCAAATATTGAAAGCAAAATTATTAAAGTTTTTTAAAATTAAAAAGAATTCCCTTGGCGTGTATAATTCACAATTTAATGATGACCCATAGATAGCAATTAAAAAAAAAAAATTAATATGGTAATTTAAAGTTAAATTTATGCTATGTTGGAATGGTTAATTTTGAATGAGCTATAGGTTGGGTAGTAAATGAATCAAATATGAATAAAAGAACTAATGTCTTTGATTTATTTGTTTATTTTTAAAAATATTCCGACTTGTTTGTATCTAGTAAAAAATTATTCTATTTATTCTAGCTTAATTCGTTCAAATGATAAGATGTTCGCATACAGTTTATATCCGGTTCGATTAAGTTAAATGAACTCATTTATAAATATTAAATTAAAATATTCACAAACATATATAAACCAACATGTTCGTGAATAATAAACGAACCATAACTAAATAAATTTAAACAAATAAATCTTAAATGAATATAAATAAATCTTAAAATAAGATTAAGATAAAAGTAAAAATGTATTATTATTATTATTATTATTATTATTATTAACGAATAAATTTTAAATGAATCTTAAACGAATTTATTTATGAATATAAATGATCTAAATATATCTCTATTCGTTTTTAGTTCGTTTAATGCATGAATATAAAAATATTGTACAAAATTATTTATTAAATTTAATAATTGAATATAAACAAATAAAAACTGAATATATTCATAAATAATTCATTGAAAATTTTGTTGTTTACACTTTTATCTCTAAGAAGGCCAAAAAGATAAACAAAATGATTTTATTTTGTATAATCTTCTTTCTGTCTCTTCAACATAAAGTAGGAAACATGAATCATGAAAGTTTCTTAATTTTTGACATGGTGACAGGTGATTAATAAGTCAAATATTTTGCTGTATTCATACTTAAATTGAGGACCACAAAATTAACCATGTGCTTATTACTAATTAAAAACATTATTTTATTAAAAACATAAAAGCAACAAAAAGAAAAGATGCCGAAATTTTAGAAATTTATGTTGACAAATATATCAATTTAAAAGTAATTTGAAAGTTGTTCAACTATATAAATATGGTGATATCATTAAAAAAAAAAAAAAAAGCGCCAAAACAAACAGCAAAATTGTTTTTTCTGCGATGTAAATGTGAGACGCCAAATATACAGTAAAAATCATTTCAAAAACGTTTTCATGCTTGTAAATGCATGCATTAACTAATTTCGGAAAAGATTAAAGAACCCAGAAAAAAGAGGCCTTTCAGTTTCCGGGGTTTGGTAGGTTGAAGAACATAAAATAAGCCGCAACACCAACAGTATCAAGAGAAGATCTCTACGGATGTGAAATTTCAATGTATTTTATTTGCAGGCAGTGGTGACTGGCATGGCCAATTGGCCATGGGGCCAACGAATTTCAATTTCATCACTATTTTATGTTGCTTAGCTGCCAATTTTGTAATGGTTACTACGTACTGATTATGTTAAGTGCTGGGCCCTTTTTACTTTTAGTCACAACGAATTTCTTTCAACAATGTGATTTAATTTGGGATGGCCTGCTTATATTATTGTTGAAAGTTGACAAGTTAATTAAAATGATTTTGACCAATAATTTGAGGGATATCGTCTCATTTTGCTTTGTATAAACATTTAGTCTTAGTCTGAATCATCTTTACGATATCTAGATATAAAAACCTTTGTAATTCATCAGTTGTAATTTTGTATATACATTGAGTTAATATTTGATGTTATGTCAATGTAATTTTTTTAATTTTATAAATGAAATCAAGATATTGATACATGTTTTTTTTTTTAATTTTTTAAATACACTTTATAAAAAATATGTATCACCCTACTAACTCTATTTACAGAATCTAAAATCTCCACTAACAGTTAATGAAATAATTTATCATATATGTTTTGATGAATATAATCACAAGTTCATTTTACATCTAAGTGAATTAAGCAATAATTAAATTGTAATTACATCTTTCCTTTTATTAAAAAAAAAAAAAAACTGATCAGATTTAAGTCTATTGTCTCCAGCCTTTCTTTTTCTTTTCTTTTCTTTTTCATTTTTGTTTTATCAAACTGTATAGTCTACAACTTAATTATAATCAAAATAAAATTTATATATATATTAATAGCAATTTTAAAATATCCTTGAACAGGAGGCAAGGCCATCCCCAAATTTCAACTCCCTTATTTTATAGGGACTGGTTCCATCAAATTTCTATTTTGGCCTCTTCTCCATTAAAATTACTGTTTTAACCTCCTTTTATCCATTTTCTGCCTTTACCTCTATCCTCCAAGATAATCCCTTAAATATTAAAGTTCTAAATTAGAGACTTCTTGTAAAGAATTGCTGAATTAGTGAGTTGCTTAATCTTCTTTTTTTGGAGATAAAAATATGGTTGCCACAGCACTATTTAATTTGGTCACCGATTTGGGTGTTTTATATAATGGATTTTATCTAAAATGGAAAAGGTGTTATAAGATAATTTTTTTTTTTTATAATATGGTCAAGGGTATCTTCAGATTGTGCTTGAACTTAATCTTCTTTTCAATGATGTTAATGATGCATCCTCCCATATCGATCTGGTGCATTCATGCTTATTCTCTCAAAATACTTTCTATAAAAATCAAATTCTGATTGAAATAAAAAAGAAAACTCCTCTATTTACAAACCACACTAATCCCTCGTAACTAGATAAATATGATGAAAGGGGTTCCTAGTATGATTTACTTAAAACATTTAATAAAATATAGTAAAAATAATTGAAAGATGGGGAGAATATTGAATACAAGTATCAATAACTAGTAAGATTTAGGTAGAACAAATTAAATCTTAATTTAATTGCATATTATCTTCTTTTTTTTTTTAATTTCTTTTAAAGATGAATAGAGATCCTTTATTATCTTGACTTCCTCAATACATATGTACAAAAATGAAGTTAAGATCAAGTAGAATTTAAAGATATAGAAGGATCAAAGTTACAAGGACTAATGTATAAGGAGTTAAAGCCACCATTTTCTTTCTTCCATTATGGAATGAAGAAAATCTGTCGTCAAAAAAATTATAATGGTGCAGCATTATTATGACCAGCTACCCAGCACTATCCAGGGAATATAAAGTCAAAGATTTCTAGGAAGAGTGACGTAGACAAAATACTCCTTTTTACTAAATATAAATTATTAAAATTTAAAATATCACTATTTGCAATTATAAGTTTAGTCGCAACAAAGCCCTTTGTTCCTTTCTGAAGTTGACAGGCTTAAATTTTAATTGACTCCAAATCTTCAATGGCCAAATAGTCAATTACCTTTTTCCTTCATTGAAAGCTCTAATATTTTCTGCACTCTGGCCTTAAACTCGGTCGTCATTCTTCGGTGGCTTAAATGTCAGTCATCAGCCAAAAACAATTAAACAAGAAAAAATGAAGAATGAAAGCATATGTGCTGACCGATCAAAACTAGCTATGTTCCAAAAGAATGCAGTATGTTCTGTTCGATCGTTTAGCCGAATTAGCATCATCAAAACATATCACCTATTGTCCAATAATACATGATTTGGTAATTGGTAAAATGTCTAAACAGTTTTGCCAACGGCCGCCAACTCAACAACTTGCGCATCTGATCATGCTTGTCCCATTAATTTTAACATATGTTTCACATCTTTTTCTTTTTTTTTTTTTTTGGGTGCAAAATGTTTGCCATCCTTCGAATCATATTAAACTCAATCACCATTCTCATTTCTCAACCATAATTCTGAATGAAAAGCCAGAACAACTATCAGGTAGCTCAAATAAAACAAAAAGAAACATACTTTTTCCTAGACATAGGCAGACAATATGATTCCAGCATTCACCATTACAAATCAATTATGATTTCGCTTGTTTTCTATGACCAATTTTTAGTACCGTCCCATATATATATATATATATATATATATATATATACACACATATATACACTCACTCCCTCGTCGACGAACCAAACGCATTTTTTGGTAATAAACAGCTTTCCTGAAAACGAGGTATTCACAAGAATTAAGGCATCAATTTTGTAAATATCACCAGAAGCTGAACTCAACTAAACGAGGCTTTGGGAAAATATACTTCAAGACCATGTAATTGAGGGATATCCTTTGCAGTAATCCTGCATATCTATATTTCTACAATACTGTGAGACTTGACCATTTGACGCTATAAATGACATGCATACCAACCATTCAGGAAATCATTATTAAAGCAGAAGATAGAATCATTTGGAATCAAAAGAGAAAGAATTTACATGTTATGAATTTTTAAATAACCTTAATTATAAGCTTAGCAAAATCTTCCCTTCTTGCAAAAGGGAATTCAATTAATTAAAGATATCTTAATTTATCTTGCAAAAAATAAATAAATAAAAGAATAAATTTTATGATTAGAATGACAAATTGTATGTCTACTTGCACGATTACTTTAGGTACATGGAATGGAACCACCGTCATACATATTTCCATAAAATAATTAAGTCAAACCAAAGAGTCAGCAAACCATATATATGCAAGAGAGTTTTCTAGGAATAATTCTGCATTATAAAAAAATACAGAATGTCTTCCATTTTCTGTTAACTTTCTAGAACCTGCATCAACTGTTTGCATAGTGAAAATGAATGTAAAATGCCAGTTTCAATTAATCATCTAAGCATAAAATTAAGAACCATGTATGTAAAGCTTAAAAAATTTTATGTATGTATTAGTATGGACAATGGGGCTGCGATTGCATGTAACACATGCTTGGGAGAAATATTTATCACAACAATCTGTCTTGAAGCAGGTTTTTGATTTGATTTTAGTTCACCCATACAATCGAGTTGGCAGACCTTGAAAAAATAAAAGAGGTGGAGATTATGTGAGCTGGCATAGATAATTTGACAGATATTTGGAAATATTTTCTCCTGAATAACAAATCATAGATAAGGGATATCAATAGAAGAATAGAACACAATATCTTATTGGTCATATAAATATATTTCAGGCATATGGGGACAAGTCGGTGTATCTAACCCATCATGTAATTAATTAGTGTGACGCTTCATAAATTTAACCCATTCTCAAGACTATGGAAAAACAAATTCATAAAATATACATGTAAATATACTTGCAGACAGTAGTCACCACTATATAATACAATCTCAAGTAGATAAATTTTTATGAAATTTAAGCTCAATGCACAGATGTGATGAATAATTTTAGCTTACGATTAATTAGAAGATTGCAAATTAGAGACACCCCTTTACTGCATTCCCATGTACACAATCTTAATTATGATAATAAGTCCTATAATGGAGTGATAGAGTACATGACTAATTAATTATTCAATATCTAGTCATAAATTAGATTTTCATATAGTTAATTACAGTGTTGATCGAATATCCCTTCTCTTATTAACAAGAGGGGAAATTCCTTGAGCATTTGATGATATGCAAATGAGGCAAATATCTAGCTAGACGATCCAATTCATCAATTATGAATTCATACTACTTAAGCAAGACAAGAAATTAAAAGAGAACGGTTTATTGCCACTGACTACACACTCTTCAGGTGAAGTTCCTCCCTAGCTGAAATTTTTAGAAGATTGTCATTGCTCCCCAACTGAGAGTTTTGGAAAGTGAAAATTTTGTTCATATTTTTAGACACAATAATACAGTGACCTATGAGTGAACTTACCATCGAACTACTGATACGGATACCTTAACTTTACCATCCAAGTTGCAATGTCTCAATACCAACTCTGGCAATTTCATTTGGACTGCAAGAGGAAGCAATGCAATGCTGGAAAGAAGTCTTAATTAGGGGAAAGTTGATCGCAAGGATAAGGATTGCACTGACACATTTTCCAGAAAAAAAAAAAACTGTTATGGAGGATGTCTAACATTTCCTCTTTCCAGCAAAGTTCCTTGACATTCCGAGGCTGCAATAAGTGGATATCACAACTTATATATACAGATCAGACGGACAAAAAGAAGTCCATTTCTCAAATTGGAAGTCAGATTAAGTCAATGCCAGTGGTGAAGAGATCAATCCCTATCAAGCACAAATACAAATTAAGTTACTTAATTTATTACTTCACTAGCTTGGATAGTTTCTGCTGCAGCCCGGATAGATTGACGCTTGTTGGATCATTGACCTATGAAGTGAAATGAAATAAGGAAACCGATTGCTTTTGTAACAACTTTAAAATAGAAAGAAATTGCTAAAAAAAAAATCACCTCGGTTTGGATAGTATGAAGTAAATATTCTTCTGATTTGGTGGAAACACAACTAACAACTGGAAGTCCTTCATCAACGAGAACAGCTAATACTCTTGATAGGGGCAAGTCTTGCTCCTTGAAGCCACAACGAAACATAATCTCGATACCTATCAAGCATGGTCGGATTATGAAGCAGTGGTTTGAACTTTCAGTTCCCGAGACAAGAGAAGCCAAATTGGACACTCTCTTCGTTTCATGTTTTTTAACATCAAGGTCTTTGACCTTCTTTTCTAAGTGTTGTATATAATTCACTGCCTCGTTCATGTGATCCGACATCGAGCGCTTTCCCTGAAACCCCATCAAAACGCATACTAAAGCTTTTACGGAATGAACATGTACAACTCCATCAAAGCCATAATTGTTGTTTCTTTTCCGGGTGGATATGTACAACCCGAGTGACAGGAATTTAAGTAAAAAAATCTTAAGCTCTACCCTTTCCCTTCCTCCACAGTCCACGCAAATTTGCATGTGTAATATGAGGAAAAGAAAAAGTCTTGAAGAAATTGATCATAAGGGTAAGGAAAAAAGGAAAAAAGAAATAGAGGTTAATTAAGGGAACCAGTTTTATGTCAAAAATGGTACAACCCCATGAAATTTGACCTGATTGTGAGAAGCTTTTACCTTGATATATTCATCAGGGAGAAGAGATCGAAGTGAAGCATAAAGGGAGGCCATATCTTGTCTCCTTTGGCGTTCAAGCTCCCTATGCAACTTCTGTTTCTTATATTTATCACAAGGAAACCCTTCGGTACTACCCTCCATTTGACAGACTTTCCCCCTCCGGCTTTTCCCCATGCCTTCCAGTGAAGCATGACCCGTAATCAGATCTTGAGGGATTTTGTGTTGGTTAGAACTGGAGAAAGTCTGGTACACCGGGTCATCGCTTTGTTGTAAAGGAAACATTCTGCAAATATTATTCACAAATTCCAGCTTTTTGTCTCTTGGGAAAAAAAATTAAAATTGGTAGTTAAAGGGGATAGCTTATATTAGGGTATGTAATATGTATATGTGAATGTGATAATTCTTCAATGGGGCCACAGATTCTTTCTTCGAAATTTTCTTCAAATAAACAAATGCTGAAAGAGAAATGACCTCCCCAGCCATTGTTAAAAGTTTGGGTTCAAGTTTTAGGTACTGTAGCTTTGCACAAAAGTAACCCCACTTACATGCATTCACACAAGGGAGACGAATCTTCACCGTCTAATGTTCACAAACGATTGAAAATGTTTAGAAGTTGAATGGAGTGTGATGAGACGGATTTAATTAAATATGTAATTAACAAGCACTACCTCCTAGTCCTAGTTGACTTTATATAGTTTGTAAGGGGCAAATTTAATTTGCATTACTTTTTATTTTTGACACATGTAGCACGCTTATTACACCAATTAATTGTATATTATAATTTTTTTTTTTTTGCAACAAATGTTAATTTTCTATGTTAACAAGGCAAAAGTTAGTCACTTACTTGGGATTTAATTAAAAAAAAATTATCTACATGTTATTGGAGTATATAGTCAAGAGAAAAGATCTACCAAATTTTCATTAGTACAATTAAATGACAAATAAAAATAACAACACTCTACTGCATAATGTATATCTTGCAGATTCTTATCACATAAATTTGATTTCGTGAAAATTAACCTAAACTTAATTTGATGCGAAAATTCCATGATAACTCTCACAAAATCAGATCATAATTTCATATTACATCAAACTTGTTAATATTCATTCACCCTTAATTAATTTGCGGAAGTTTAGTTTCTAATTATATTCAAATGAGGGTAGCCTAATTAATTACCTAGTTCTTTCGTGCATCTTTAAAACCGTAATCATTTCTTTGTACAATTTGACAATCTTATACTCTCAATTACATGAAAGCCCAATTACATGAATAATTTTACTTGGCTCATTAATTTTGTTTTAAATATTTATATTTTTAACATATAATTATTAAATAAATTAAAAATTTTATCAATTTATGGATAAATTTAAAGATAATAATGATTTGAATCAAATTGGAATTGATTCAATTTTGTAGATAATACATAATATTATAAATTTTTAAAATTCAATTCAAATCTAATTTGAATTTTTTTAAATCGATTCAAATCAATTTTTCAATTTGGTTTAATTTACCAGTTTTTAAATTTATTTTTTATATTATTTTAATATATTTAAATATAAAATAATTGTTTTATTTTATAAAAATTTAAAATATATAAAAAATAATAAAAATAAATAATTCAATTTATTTTCTTTTAAAATTTTTCACTTTTCAATCTAAACTTAATATATATTTAATATTTAAATTTAATCTGAATTAAATAAAAATATCAATCCAAATTAAACAAATATAATTTCAAATTGATTTTTATTATTTTATTTTTTCTCACCCCGATAAATCATATAATAAGATTAAAGGGATAAACGAATAATATTTTTAAAAAATATTATAATCCCTAATCTTTTAGTGCTTACAACAATTAAATGGTCAGGAAAAGAATGGAAAGTAGTCAACACCCACCAACAGTATCGAGGGAAGATCTCCAAAATATATGAAGTAAGCCCTAAGCCCTTATTTCCAAGCTAGTTTATTAATTCTTACACATAACAGATATACATGAGCTGGACAAGATGTTGTTAATTGTTCATTATTTCATTAGTTATAAATGTATAACATCTAATTCCCAGCTTGCTTTTTATCAAATCAAGTTAGAAAATCATTCACTCTTAAAAAATAGCATTTAACGTATTTAAATTTCAAATTTTAAAACATATAGCATATATCTTTATTTTCAAACTGAAATTTTTTTGTATAAAAAGAACACAACTAATTAATAAAAAAGTATAATTGGTGATCGCACCAACACACAATTACTGAGTTTTCAAGAATAATGGCAACAATTCTTTTAGAAAATTATAATAATAATAACAAGAAAAAATTAAGATCATTTGACCCATCTAGATTGGTATATTTTTAAACAATAATTGGTAGGGTTGGGTCCAAATTCTTGATCGTAGCCGAAAGGCCAGATCATCACCTAGATTTAGGACATATAATAGGCAAGGTGGGGGTTGCATCGATCCTTCCTAATCTTTTTTTAAAGGATAATGCATATCCTTCCCAAATCTCTATCAACTAAACCCAACAATCAATGTCTTCAAATCTGGAGGACAAAGCCGACCCCCAACATTTCAATGTAAGCATTACCCTACGGATATAATTCCTTCCCCCTAGCCCTACATTATTGAACTACTTGTGATTTTTTTTTTCTTATTCTTTTTTGCAAATTTTAATTTACCGTTAACCTCTAACCTCTATGTACTTAACTCACAAAAAGAGAATATTATACACTTATTTTTTTTTAAATTCACAATTTTAAAAAATTTTAACATACATATTATCTAAACTAATAATCACTTGCTTTTTACTTGTGGGCTAATTGATTATAATCTTTTAGCATATGCTTTGTTGTAGGAAAACATCAAATAATTGGTGTTATTAAGCCCACTTGACCCGTTCAAGCAATATACTACTACATGTTTATTTTCGTTTAGTTATTATAATAATAATGACATTTTTTGGAATAAAATAATAAATCTTAAATATATACATTAAACAACTATGAAGAAGAATTATGAACATAAAGTAAGCAACTAGGTTTAAGCATTTCAATTCTTGTATTACATGGTTTAAGTATTCCTGTGAAAATCCGCGTGTGTGACATACTTAAAATCTTGGTGCATTGTAAACAACATTTTGTATTATTATTATTATTATTATTATTATATTTGTTTCTTTTTTTTTCTATTTTTCTTATTTCTTTCTTTTTTTTTTCTTCTTTTCTTTTTCGAGTCAATTTGACAAAAATATGAGTGCATTAAATACACTTTTCTCAAAGTCCAAAATCACAATCACTGCTAACTGTCGGCAACCACCAACACCCTGCCTAACTTAGTAGCATGGATTTCGGTCATAAAAATTTCATAGATTAGTTGACAATCTGAGATTTGAATCCTAAAAAATTTGATATTTGAATTTCGGAAAGCTCTATAAATAGAGCTTGTTTTTTTTTTTTTTTTGCAAAAAAGAAAGCCATCGATTAAAAAAATCAGAAACCCTACAAAAGCAAAAAAAAAAAATTTTTTTGCTGGATTAAAAAAAAAAACTTTTGTCAAACAAAAACCCAAGACAAAATAAGCCAAACAAACACAAATCTAACAAAAAAACTCAGCCTCTAAAAACGAGGACCACAGCGCCAAATAAAAAAAAATAATACAAACACAAAAAAAAATTTTGACCAAACCTTCTAGGGCAAATTTGTGCCGTTTGAAGCCTATTTTCTCAAAATCAAACTCAGATTTGGACTTTGGAGGTTGAAAGCAATATTGGGTGAATTTTGAAAATTTTTTGATCATCGACGACGGCAGTGACGACGACTGACTAGCCTCCTTGGGTTTTGTCTGAAAAATTAGAGGGGAGAGTGTTTTTTTTTTTTTTTTTAGAAAGGAGGGAAATGAGCTAAAAAAATTGTAACTTTTATATAGAAAACCTAACATCAAAACGATGTTGTTTCAGTAATTGTCAAAACGATGTCGTTTTGAACTGTAAAGGATCCACGCGTTAGCCTAAGATTTGATCCAGGGTTCGCGCATCCGATTCGACGACCCGTTTCTCCTTCAGCCTTTGACCAATCAGCTGAATCGACCCAGATCAAACTGGACTATCCCTAGATCATTGAACCCGAATCAGATTAGCTCCGAATCGTCGAACCAACTGGACCAAACCGACGTTGATCGGTCTCATTTAAGTAAAAAAAATTTTTGAATTTTTTAAAGATTTTTTTGATATATTATTTTTGTTATTTTAAATTTTTATTATTAACATTTATGCTTATTAAAATGTTCAAATTTATTAGAATAAATTTTTGTTGTTTATAACAATAATTAATAAAAATAAATGATGAAATATATAATAAAAATTTTTGATAATTTTGTTAATTTTAGAATAAACCTTATAAAATAATAAAAAATGTAGAAAAAAAAATTTTTATCCAACGATGAGATTCAAAAGTACTTTAAGTAGTGATACTATGAAATTTTAGGTGAAAAGATTTTTTTAAAAATACTACCAGTGTATTGGAGTTTTTATATAAAAATTTTCAATACCATAAAAATTTTTCTTTTTACTAATAAATTAAAAATAATAATATAAATGCAGAAAAAAATTTATCCAATGATAAGATTCTAAAAGTATTCCGAGTAATAATACTTTATAAAATCTATAGGTGAAAAGATTTTTTTAAATATTACCAATGTATTAGAATATTTATAGAAAAACTTCAATATAATAGAAATTCTTTTTTTCTTAAAAAATTTAAATTAAAAAAAATAAAACAATCGATAAAATTTCTAAAAAAGAGAATAAAATACATGCATCAACATATCAGCATGTTGCATTGCATGCTTAATAAAGTTTTTACGAAAAATAAATTCGAGCCTTCGATAATGAGATTCTAAAGTATTCTGAGAAGCGATGCCTAAGAAATATCTGGGTGAAAAAAGTTCTTTTAATGTTACCAACGTACTGAAACATTTTAAGAATTATTTCAATAAAAGGGTTCTAATTTATTTTTCTCAAATAAAATTTGAACAATAAATATGGAACAATAATAAAAGAAAAAATAAAAATTTCAATAAACGAAGGAAATCAAGGAAATCATTTTTAATCACTGAAAATAAGACTGTTTTATCAAAATTAATAAATAACACGTAATTAATTGGTAACATTTTAAACGAGCGTTGTGAAGGTGCTAATCCTTCCCCACACGTAATTGATTTTCAAACTCAAATTGGTTCGCAAATCCCAAAATTTTTTTTAATAAATTTTAATTAATTTTAAGATTTTATTAAAAGGTTGTGTTTAAATAGGTAGCCAATCACACCTAGCTAAAAAGATTGATAACGACTCCATTTTTGTCCTTTTTGTTTCCAAATTCATTGGGCAAACGTAAAACCATTACGATAGCTTGGTGACTCCACTGGGGAAGCCATTTGTTTTCGAAAGTCAGGCCAAAATTAACTATGTGTTATCCTCAAATTTTGATTTAAAAAGTCTTAATCGATG